GGCATGGTGGTGGGCACCTATAGTCCCAGGAGAATCACTGGAACCCAGGAGTTTGAGGTTGCTGTGAGCTAGGCTGAGGCCATGGCACTCTAGCCCAGGCATCAGAGGGAGACCTTGTCTCAAACAAACAAACAAAAAAACAGGATGTCTTATCTCCCCAACTAGACCTTTAATGTCCTGAAGGCAGGAATCCAGCTTGCCACATTTCTACATATACCAGGTAAACACAAAATACTATCACATTCCTGGATCTAGCCCCATGAACTATCTTAATCATCTCTCACATTTTTGGCCAAATGTCTCTTAAGAAGTTTTAATACACTAGGCCCCAAACTACAGTCAGATTCCCCTCTGGGCCCTCCCCTCTTATGCTTAGGAAGTAGAGAATAACTGGTTTTTAATTACTATCAGCCCTACTTGGCTGAGCGCTGGCCACCTTCCAGTTAATGGAATTGGAACGGCATGGTTCAGAATCCTTCAAGGAAAAAAAATCAGAGAGAAATCATTGTCATAATCCATGAAGATGAGAATAGGAAGGCAGAATGAAATGAAAACAGGCCCAGAACACAAGTCTGGGGGTGATGGTGAGCAAAAAGGTTTAATGACTTAAGACATCTGCCTTCCGTTTTGAGCCACTTCTTTCTTTCCAACCTCCTCAAATTGAGGCATGTGATGTTTGATCAGTCCTGGCCTGGGTCAGAATCCAAGAAGATGCAAGCGCAAGATGCTCCCAGGTAATGCAATCCTGATGAGCACAGCTCCGCAAATGCCATCTCACCACAGTGCCATTAAGTGCCTTTTCACCCAAATCATCTCTAGCTTGCCTTTCCCAACTTCTGCATCTTTCTCTTTCTTACTTAGAAAATCCAGAACTAACTTCTACAGTCAAACTCCTGCATGCTCCAAGTGACACGGTGGTGTCTTCCCCTCCCAAGCTCTGATTAGGCCCCTTGGTCCAACTTTGAAATTCCGCTCTCTGGCATCTCGGAACCACTCTGGTCCCTACACCCCTTTTCCTACTCTGGCTCCTCCCAAGGTGCCTACAGGTCTGCCCGGACACACCAAGGCAGGCGACCTCCTTCCCCTCGTCTCCCTACTTTGCCACTCTGCAGGTCTCAACCCCCTCTTCTCTTAATCTGCCCCCAGTCCCTTGCCCCTGATCCGATGCTATCCCTGTCCGCCCAGCGGTCGCCATCTTTCCGCTCGGCTCCGCCGCTAGCCAGCCCGCGCGCTCACCGTTCTGGCGGCGAGGCCCGTGCGCTTGTCCCACAGGAAGTCCGTGATGGCGGCGGCACTGCGGCCGGAGTCCCGGCACCCCCGCGGCGACGAAGTGCGGCTTCACCCCCCAACCCGAGACCCTGGGACCTCCCGCCCCGTTCCCAGGCTCCGCTCCAGTCCCGCCCGCCCCGGCTCAATCCCCGCCCTAAATTTCGCTCGGCGCCGCTCGCACCGCCCCCGCCCGGGGCCCGATCCCAGCTCGGTCTCCGGCTCTGGCCTCTCCGCTCCGCCGCCGCCGCCGCCGTGAGCGAGCACGTACGCACGCACGCACGACC